GAATTCCACCCAAGAGTGACCACATTGTGAACACCTGCAGTCATGTGCATCAGAATTCCACCCACGAGTGACCATATTGTGAACACCTGCAGTCATGTGCATCAGAATTCTATCCAGGAGTGACCACATTGTGAACACCTGCAGCCATGTGCATCAGAATTCTATGCATGTAGTCATAAGCAGGAATAGCTAGGTAATACTAAAAATGTCTATGTCTTTTTCTTTTCACACAGCTGTCATGATCAAATAGTATACAAGAATTATTAATGTCATGATTAAATAGAATGCAAAAGATGATTAAATGTCAGACAATTTCATTTTTAGCAGCATGAGTGAGTACTTCTTCCCTTTTAAATAAATAAGTGAGGTTATTTAGGAGAGAAATATTTGTGAGTTGATGAAGTATATTTTCTTCAGAGAATGATACCTGGCAAGAGAGATATCTAAGGGGAAATCCACTAGAAATATGTCAGACTGCCAGCGTGCTTTCTGACTGTGGACCCTTTAGGGTGAGTTCTATCTGGTGATTAATGTCACTTTGGATTAAATTAATTGGCTGCACTCAATCCCTTGGTAGACACGCTAATAATAAATCCAAAGACATTAGTTTCTTCATACAAAATGAGCAGGTTGCATATACGGTGACATTTATATGAGCTACTCAAACAAACATTCTTTTCTTCATAAGGGAGAGTTCAAGTTCTGGTAGGTACAAAACTATCCAAAATCTTCTAAAAATTATGCTTTGCTAATTTATTGTGCTTTTGTTTCATATCAGATTACATGTGTCTTTTTTCTTTAATCATTAGAAAAATAAATGCTGCTAATAATTACTGTCTTTTACTCAAATATGCTAGAAATCTTTGCAGTATGCTGATATTAAGTAGAGAAAATCAGTGTAGGAAATTATAATTCTAGTTTAATGAAATATTAGTAAATTTTATTTCATTTTTCTCATAAAGGCATTATGTATTCATTATAGAAAACTGCAATGCCTTAAGAAAAAGAACCTGTCAATCATTCATGTGTTATTGCTGTTGCTGTGAACAGCTGTTGTATATTTTTTTGCAGTTTCCTAATCCTTAGTCCTATCCAATAGAGGTACAGAAACTTATGATGAAAATAGCCAGCTTTACTATAATATTATCTATGAATTTCCATAAGATTAAACATTTTGAATTTATCAATTTTTTACTTTTTTCCTACTTCATCCTTTTCCAATTGCCTGAATTCCTATGATGTGGTAGAAAATTAAATTTAAAGTATTATTAGTGAAATGATAGGCATCTTTTAGATCCACCATTTATTTTGTCAAATGAGTGAGGGAATAAATGTGCCCTATTAATAAAGACAACTGTTCAGGACTGAGCATCACAGAGTGAAATGCACTGTTGCCTGACCCATGATGAGATGGAGGTATAAGGACAGCTTAGTGCAGGGAGCCCAGGGGCATTGCGTTTTCCTCCTCAATCTTGCAAAGTATTCATGATTCCTCCATAGTTCAACTTTTGGCAATGAAGAAGTTCGGAAGATACTGACAGCAAGCTATTAAGTTATCAGCAACAGATTTTAGTGTAAACTGGGATAGAGGCAAAGCTCACTTGCTGTCTCCAGGGGGCCTGTGGGGAGGAAAAGAGAGGGTCTGAAGCTTCCAAAGTAAATTTCTGAGAGAATAAAACCATATTAGGCCACTTGGTTTGTTTTCTAGGTAATTCCCAAGCTTCTTAATGGCTTATCTCAATTTCTGATAGCATATTTTTTATAATTGAAAATGCTTGTAAGGAACACGAAATTTGATTAGCTGTACAAAGTAAGAAAGGAGCACAGTCATCACACACAGCTTAACTGGTTGCTCAGCCTCATTAAATGGCACTCTCTATCAAGACCTAGCACTCACCATCACAGGTCTCGCTTGTGTGCTGTGGCTACACGCTGCACATTTCCCTCTTCACCCGAGGGCACCCCACCATGCTGCATCTGGCATCTCAGCTTTTTACATGGCTTTCCTTTAGAAAATGTTGCCTTCCCCTTCCTGCCTCCAATCTGGCCTACACATCCCCTCTTGAGCATTTCCTTAGTATTCTGACTCATCCTCATTTGCATTCTTGAATTACTCCGAGTCTTCATGGACTCTAGGAGAAGTCCATTATTAAGGCAAGGCAGAGTCTGACCCACTTCCTTTGGTTTACAACCTCTTCCTCAGTGATTAAATTCTGCACTGGATGTAATCAGATTCTTCTATTTAATGATGATACTGAATAGTCATTATTTTCCATGTTTTTCACACAAAGCCTACCTCACTATAGGTAGATGTACTTGACTCCCATGAATGGAGTGCCCCCATTCTCATTGCCCCCTACTTTTAGTGACTTAGGACTTCCACTGTTAGGCATCTGGTATCCTGCAGAGCATGGTAATCTGCTTGCCTTTGGGCTCAAAACCAATTTGCAGGGCTGGCAGCGGTGAGATGGGCTAACAGGGCGGGGAAGTCACTTCTGTTTCCTTTAGTTCTTCTATTCCATGCCCCCTCTTTTGATTCAGGCACAGAATTTCTTTATCTTATTTTAGCCCAAAGCAAACAAATGTGAAACTTTTCAAAAACCTTTGCATATCCCCAAATGGTCAAGTTAACAACACTCTAAACAGTGGTATGTAGAAAACGAGTGACACTGGAGTCCTCATAACGCATGTACATAGAGAAGCATACTTTCCAAGACGAGGTGAATAAAGTGTCTCAAAGACATGGAAATGACCCAACCTACCAAGTAATCAGAGGGAAGAGCTTTGAAGTCTTTAATTTAAACAGTGAATGAGCTCATCTTTAAAAAAATGTTTTTATTTTTAATGGACATAGAGTAATTGTACATATTTATGGGCTATGATGTGACATTTCAACTCAATACAATACATAAGGATCAGACCAAGGTGAATGGTATAATTATCTCCTCAGACATTTATGATTTGTGTTGGGAAGTATAAAACTTCTGCTATATTTGGAATATTCAGATAATTGTTATGAAGCACAGTTATTGCTGTGTACTATAAAACAATGAAATAATCCTCCTATCTGCCTGTGCTTGGACACTGGTTAACCTGTCTCTTATCTTCTTAGAGTTGGTGAGGGAAGGGAAATTAAGCAGGCTGCCCAAGGTCAGATCAGCATTTATCAGAGGAGGCTTGCGGTTTTGCTGACTTCATTGCAAATCTGGATTCCCAGCTCCAGATGTGCACACCTGCTATGGTTGCCTTTATTATCTTAAGAACTATAAACACTTTAAATCTTAAGGAAGGTAGGGAGGAGACATCTAATTTCTAGGTTGTTCTTAGAATGTTTTTCCTGAATTACATATAAAGAAGATGTGCAAATCACTTTGGAGATACATAAAGAATCTTACATAACAGTTTGCAAATATTTATGTAGGTGATTTGGGTCAGATTTACACTGCAAATATGTTTTCTTTTTTTGATCTCTGTAATACCAATTACATTTATTTCATTCAATTTGTCTTTAAGGGTTCAGGGCTTTTGTATGTTTTCAAAACACTAATAGTTAAAATGAATTAACAGATAATAGCCACAGTGCACTACAGATGAAGAACCCACAGCAAGATGGGCTCTTGTACAATTCCCCAAGCTGCTAACTTGTCAGATTTCAACTTCAAGGAAAGCCTCTGTAGTTTGCTGAAAACAGCTCTACTTCAATTTTCTCCTGATGCTTTTGTTTCAGAACTGGTGTACTCAGATGGCACATGTTTAGCAGTCCATAGTAATTCTGTCACCTAGTCAAAGAATATTTTTAGTGCAGTATTTCCCAACCTAAGATGCATGGGTCTTCGGATGATTTTTCTCCTATTTGCAGAGTGACTGATACTTTTCTAATGAGATCTTAGAGATCTCTGTGATACATTCTTTCTAAAACCCAATGTTACTTTATATTCCTCCAGGCATACTCATTTAGTTCCACCAAAAGTCAAATTGAACTTTAAACTTTTCCTGCCCCACCACCCCTTTCTTTGACTGCAGGGCACGCAGGTCTACTGAACTGCCAAACTTTTCTCATGGGATAAGTTCTGATTTGTTGTCTCTTGTGATTTTTTTTTGAAATTCTGCAGCAATATTTTTCAACTTTAAAGACTCACAAAGTTTAGTAACATATATATCTTTGTGATATATAACTATATATCGATATCTGTATATGACACAAAAGAGTGGGGATGAGAATGTAGCTTAGTGTAGAGCAGTTGCTTAGCATGAGAGGCCCTGGGTTAGATCCCTAACACTGAAAAACTAAACAAAATATACATATAACACCCACAGGTGA